TCCTCCTCCTCCTCCGCGTGCAACCTCCTCCTACCCTTTCCTCCTCGTGCAACAAGTAGCGCGTTCATTTAAGACGTGTCGGCGTTCTTTTGTTCGTTTTAAAAAAGGCAAGCGACGAAGTTCCGCTTTAAAGGGGGACGGAACGTTCCAACCACCCCCGCGTGACGCGGGGCGGGGATGATCGCGAGGATGTGAGAACTCGCGTTGGTAAGATTGTTGGGAGGGGAGAAAGGGGAGGAAGAAGGGAGAGGAGACGCGTGTGGGTGGATTATTCTTCGCGGGTTGAGTCTCTTTTTAATTGTAATTCGTATTTTCATTTCACTCAGAGGATACGTTGACGTGTATTATTTTTATGCGTTTCAACGCGAGGTTACAATTACAGGAACGACAATTGGATAGCGTAAAATTTTCTTAATTCGATAATAATAATAATAATTATAAAGAAATTTCAAGATTTTCTTAATTAAGATCTCTAAGATTTCTCTTCTTTTTTCTCGATATATATATCAAAGTATTCGAATCCTCCTCGCTTCAAAATAGAAAGCATCGAAGACAGGAGAGGAAATCCGACCTCTCAACCCTGGGTGGGCATATGGCTGCCGCGCATATTCGTCTAGTTAGCGCTCGCACACGATACAAAGTTCTCCGTGGAAACGGATGCGAGAAAGGTCCCAGCATCCCATTCAGGTTCCCCTCCTCGTTCAATGGACCATCTCGCTTCGTTAACCAGTCTGTCGCATTTTTTACTCATCACCTATAGATATACCATAGATATATATATACATATACACAGCCAGGTCAACCCTTTTTCTCGCAATTTGAATACATTGTACCCCAACCCGACATACATATGTATATCCGACCGATACTTTTCGGTCTTCTCCTCACCAAACCCTCCCCCCCTCCAGATCTCAGTCTGTTTCACTCTTCCACGTCGATTCCCTAGTCGAAACGCGTATCGCAGTTTCTACCTGGATAACCCTACCTGGAGGGGGGAGGGGGTTGTGTGCGTCGTGGCTTGACCGAGTTTCCAGTCTCTCTCCTTTCTTTCCTCCTCTCGAACACAGACAGAAATACACCCCGTCCCTCCCCATATACGGTATGCCGATTTCCTCGACAATGCTTCTGATTTTGATTTATATGACGCGACCGACAGCTACACGGAATCACCGAAGGGTGCACCGCGACGGAAATTATAAATTCATGTACCCCCCCC